GCTCGCCGTGGTCCGTCGCCGCCGCGGCCGCTGTCATCGCTGCCGCAATGCTCTGGGCCCCCCTAGATGGCGTCGGAGTCGATGGGGTCGGAGGATCGTGCCGCATCGCCGATGCATCGCTGGTGCGGCTCGATGTGAAGCTCGATTTGCCTCACGTCGATGTCGCCGATGCATCGCCCACGTCGACGATGCATCGCCAGTGCATCGCCGATGCATCGCCGATGCATCGGCGATGTATCGGCGATGCGGCTCGATCCCCCGACCCCATCTACTCCGACCCCATCTAGGAGGCCTCTAGAAACGCCCATCTTGAACCCCAACACGTACCGCGCTCAAAACGTCGGTGTCAATACGTTGCGTGTTGGCTCAGCATATTGGCCCGCGTTTTGGCAAGCGTGTCGGGTCAGACTTGCGCTTTCATTCTGCGTGTTGAGCTCCGTAATTTTCAATACGCCACGTGCTGCGTGTGGCGTATCAGGGCAGTTAAGCAGGTTCGATTTGGGTGACGCAAAAATCAGAGGAGGAAGAGGTACCCATACCGCTACCCTTCCCTCGGTTTCCCCTTTGGGGCCTCCTGGGATGCCCTTGTCGCCACCGCTGGATTCGCCTCGAACTCCTCGTCAGAACGCACCACGGGAGAGGTCTGGGGAGCAGTGGTTTCGGTACTTGATGGTTCGCCCAAAGAAGATAAGCCCACCCCGCCCTCCCCTCCTGCATTTGAGCGATGCAAGATGAAACATGGTCGTGCTCACCGATATTGGCGCGAAAGCTGCCTGTGTATGGTCGCGCGTAGGCGCCCTCGCTTTCAGTGTAGTGTAGCGTGCCGCGCTGGCGGCCCGCGCAAGCTGCGGCGTACGGTCGCTACGTCATCTTGCGTAAGACCCGTTTCTGGTCGTCGCTCATTTCGGTCTGATCCGTTCGCTTCGATATCAAATCTGGCGGGCACCGCCGGACTCGATTCTGGTGCTCCGACGATGCGATTACGGGCCGACGCCACATGGCGATGTTGTGCGTCCTCGCGCGGCGGGGCCGACTCAATTCTGACCCCGTGCCGGCGCAGCCCGATCCGACGCACATTCCGACTCGATCCGATTTCCCGATGCGCTGCTGATTGGTCCGCCGCCTCCGTCGTCTTCGCCGTCGCAGCCATCGCCGGTCGGGTCGTGCTGCCGCGGCTGGAGCCTCCACGGGGGCCCGGGCGCGCAGCGGGTCGAGGGCCCCGGTGCCGGCTCCCAGGGGCCGAGGGCGTGGGCGTGGTCGCCGCGCTGGCGGTGGTCGTCGTCGTTGTCTTCGCGGCGGTGGCGGTGGCCGTCGCCCTCCTCTCCCTCCTCTCCCTCCTCTCCCTCCTCTCCTTCTCTCCCTCCTCTCCCTCCTCTCCCTCCTCTCCCTCCTCTCCCTCCTCTCCCCTCGCGTCGCAGTCGTGATCGTGGTCTGCGTGCTGCTGCTGCTGCGCTCGAGCGGGTGCTGCCGGTTGGCACGCTCCTGCTCCATCCCTCCCCCCGCCTCCTCCTCCTCCTCCTCCTCCTCCTCCTCCTCCTCCTCCTCCTCCTTCTCCTCCGACCGACCTACCGAAGCGCCTTGGGGACACTCCGTCTACACCGACGGCTCGGGGCTGTGCAGCAGCAGCTCCGAACTTAGACGGTGTGGATGGTCGGTCGTTGAGTTGGGGCCCCGCGGGCTCCCTGTTCGTGCGCGGTACGGGGGCCTCCCTGGTCGGTTGCAGTCGGTTCCTCGGGCCGAGCGGTTTGCGATCTATCAGGCGCTTCGAGTCAGCCCCCTGAATGTGCATGTCGTCTCCGACCAGCTGAGCGCTGTGCAGGAAGGGACGTGGGACCCCCTCCAGGCCTCGAGCGGCTCAAGACATGCAAGTCTACGGAGAAGCAGTTTTGCGCTTTGTCCCCTCCCTGGGCCGAGACCCTCCTTCGAGTGGACACCGTCGCACCGAAGCTGGGAGGAAGTGGTTGCCTCTGGGACCGAGTCGGATGTGATGAAATTTTTAGGGAACCTGTGGGCTGATTTTTGTTGCCCGCCTCGGAGCTGAGTCGCATGCTGCGGCAAAGTCTCTTGAGTAAGCACAGTCAAGTGTCGCTGCCACGGCTAAGCTCACGCTCGACTTTCTGTCCAGGTTCGCTCAGTCGATCGCTGCGGCTGCCCAGGAGCTTTCGACCCCGTCTTCTGAGCTGGTCCAGGGGCCCCGTCCCGTGCCTCGGGACTCGTTTCTCGTGCTGCCGCAACACGAAGTGTTCTACTTCCCTTCGCTCGATGAGTGGCGGCGCCGAGCGTGCAATCTCCTTGTTCGGACGCCCTGATCTTTGGCTCAGTTGATGTCAGGCTCACGCAGAATTTGTGGGCCGTCCCACTGCCAGGCTTGGCAGGCGCAGGCTGTGTTCGTTCTGCGCGCTGAGCGGGGTATCCCGATGTCTTCGACCGCGGCGCCGAGCGTCCTGGAGGGTGCGGGCCGTGTCCTGGGGCCTGCCCCTGCCGCCCAGGCGCCGCTGGTCCAAATGCTCACCGACCGTTGTGTGTCCCTGGGCCACCAACTGGAGCAGGTTGGTCGAGTTGTTGTTGTTCTTTGTGCTCGGCCAACACCATCCTCCCTGGGGGAAGCCTCCGTGGGCTCGAGTTAAGGTGCCATGGTAGATCTGATCATCAGTCGATTCGAAGCTCCGAGCCAACCAAAGTTAAGTATGCTGCACGTGGCCTCCACCCGCGCACGGGGAAGCCGCTTGAGCCAGTTTCGTTTTCTGCATGGGGGGGAGGCCTGTCGAGTGCCGCCTAGCTCGCCTGAGCTAGGTAGGCGCTGCAAAAATATGGATGGCCTCCCCGCGCTTCCGTCCCGAGCGTTTTTTCGCAATCGGGCCCTTCCCCCCTTTCGGAAGGTATAATCCCTGTCTGCCCTGCGCCTCCGTACGGATCCGTAGAGCCAGGCGGTGCGCGCCTCCTCCTCCTCCTTCTTGAACCACCTTCCTCCTCCCTCCTCTTTCTCGTCCCTTCACTTACCTCCTTCTCCTCCCTCCTCCTCCTTCCCCCCGACACCTCCTGCTCATCCTCGTCCTCTTTTTCCCTCCACAGTCAGCTTCTTCTCCACTTCTTCCTCCTGCTCATCCATGACTTCCATCCTTGTCTACCCCTTTGCCATACAGAGAATCCCTCCTTGTTGCCCCCCTCCGGACGTTTGGGTTGGGGCGAGCGAAGCGTTTCGAATGGGACTTCCTCACCACTACGATCCCCCAAAGCTTAGAAGTCACAATGGCTACACAGATGGAGGGTGTCGTTTTCAGAATGCAGTTGTCGCTTTAGCGCCGCGCACATTCGTCTTAACCATACAAAAGTTACAACATGTAGAAGTGGTTGTGTTCAAGGTGGACTTGCCGCCCAACCGTTGAGCACATCCTTGTGTTTGCGCGCAACAGCTACCAGCGTGGAGTACGTTTGCCTTTTGTCGTGGAGTTGTCACCTCAGCGCCGCGCACTCTCGTCTGACATTCAACATTTCCAATGATCGAGCAGCGGATGCTTTCAGAGCAGAGTTATCGTTTTAGCGCCGCGCGCAATCGTCTCTTTCCTCCACCTGTGACAAGGACGGAGTGCCTTCTCGTGCTCCCCAGACCTTGAGATGCATGGGACTGCCGTGTCCAGTTTCGCGAACAAGGTCCCCAACCAACCGCCGAAGAACAGCTTGCTCAGTAGCGTCCAGTCCTTGCCCTCCAGGCGCTCCCCATGCAGCAGCACTGTGCCGCGGAGCAGGTCCTCCGTTTCCTCCGCTTCCTGCTTTCCAGACGCCTTCGTTCTCATGCTCGCCGAAGCCTTGGAGCTCCATGGCCATATGGTCCAGCCCGTAGCTGCGCACTAGCACGATCAACATTCCGTCCACGTCGCGCCATTCCGAAGCCCCGGCCGATTCCATCGGGACCGTCTGTTTCTCCCCCAACCTCCCTCAAATCCAATATTTTTGGGAATTCAGCTGAACACGAGAGTGGTCCTTCTCTGGGGTGACCCTTGGCACTGGCCCAGAGGGGGTCGGGCAAGTCCTCCTTGGGGATTGAGCTCGGCTTCGCGTTGGCGCGCGCGGCGTGGGTTTGCGCTGGCATCTGAGCGCGCCAGGGTTGGGCCCCCCTCGCAATCGACCGCAACGCATGCGCGGTGCATCTTGCAGCGTGCGCTGGATTTCCGAGAGGATCTTGGTCGACTCGCCGGCGCGCTTTCCGCTCCAGGGCCACTTCCAGAAGCCCGACCCAAGCCCCAAAGCGTCCAGCAATAATGAGCTTGAATAAGTTTGAACAGCTTCGAACAATTTCGAGTATGCTAGCCAGCGGTAGACCCCAAACATTTGTTCTACTACAGTTTAGGTTGTGTAATTTATGTGGTGGAACATATCTTACGCACCCTGCGTGGTGCAATCTATGTTGTGCTGTCTTTAATATGTGGAGTTGTCAACGCCGCTGCACGCGCAATCGCCCCGCCTGCCCACGCGCAACTTGGTTTACAAAACCCATGCGGCGGTGATTTCGATGAGTGCGCGGCGTTGGCCGGTGCATCTCCGCGGCCGCGCTAGCCCGCGCGTGCTCGCGCTCGCAGCGGCCAGTTAGTTCAGCGCGACCGACGCGGCTGCGGTGGCGCTGACCGTTGGGCCCTCCCCGGCGGGCACTTCAGTGAGAGGCGCCGATGGCGATGACGGCGGCCGCGCGTCGGCGATTAAGGTTTTGGAATGAGTTCCACATGCGCTCGCGACCGACGCGCGCAACTGGCCCGCATGGCGTCGTTTGAAAGAGATCGTGAACCCCCTTGCACGCGCGCAAGGGCGTTCGAATGATTTCGACATGCGGCGCGAGAGGTCCGTTTTACGGAGTTTGATGAACATGTCAAAACAACATATCTATATATGTGTGTTCTGGAAGGGGGAACAACGTAGTTCGCAGAAGCGCACGCGTGCCATGTTTGGAGAACAGCTGTTGCAAAGCCTTGATGTTTGCCTGCTTTCGGGGCGAGGGTTTTGACTTC